GAGTTAGTCTGTGGCAATGAGATACTTTTACTTTACATCACTGACTCCAAGCCAGTTCAACAACCAAAACCACTCAGTTCAAGTGCCATCTAGATACCACTAAAAAACCACGTACCCAAATATTGGTCTCCATCTGACTTCTACCTTTACTAGGACACTAAATCATAAGCTACTGATGAAGAAGAAACTAAAATATATGTACTACATTCTAAGGTGAAAACAGGAGGAAATTTTATGACTACATTTGCCTAGTGATTTTTTTGGCTGATCCTACATAGATAATACATCAACAGATAGGTTCTTAAAGACTCTGAATTCTCAATGAGAAGCACACTGCAGTAAGTTCAACGCCTCCTGTTAATCTGGGTGTAGTGGCACTGGTTTCCTGCAGTTATGAGGAAGACATGCAGAGCAACTCACCAACATGGGATCACTGTGTTAGCATCTTCCAGTAAAATTACAAGACTGACATATATTTAAATATTAGTTTTCACAGCAATAACATTGCACCAAAACAAAGGCATAAGCTAAAGACAGGTTTTAAAACAGTGAATGAACAGCCTGAGCATGCTGAGAAGCTTATGACAGGAACAGTTCCCTTGCTCCCTTGATCCTACTCTTCCACAATCACTTGCCTTTTCTTCAACTCTGTATAGCCTCTGCCCTTCCTCTAGTCCCTGCTCTTTTAAACTCTTTGCTCTGCAAGCCAAAAGAGAGAAAAAGCCACAATTCCAGACAGACATTCAGGCTTAGCCTCCTTTCAGCATCAGCTTATCAAACAGAATCACTCGCCCATGGCTCAAGAATGAAAGGAGTGCCTATTTCGATTGTTTGCTTTCTGCTGGACAATGCTAAAGCCTCTGTTTGGCCTGTGAAACCTTCTCATCGTACAAATTCTTCCCGATCCCACTGCAACCCAGTTAAAATGTGCATCTCCAGCGTTTTTACGCTGGCTCTGAAAACTGCCCATTCCTAGATTCAGTCATGGGCTCTTACATGGGGTAGTAAGTTTTCTTTAGACACAAGAAGGGGAGTTCCGTAAGAAAGGAAAACTGTGCGGGCGCTGGCACCACTTGGAATCCAGTTATACTACAGTCTTACTGTCAGATCAAGCTGCCTGTTCCGAGTTGCAATGGAAAGCTCAATGGTGGACAGCTTCAGCTCTTCCCAGTTCTCCGGGGTTACCTCCTGGGGGATTTCTGTGAATCCAGAAGAGAAGATATCATTAAGTGGAATTTAATTACACAGATCATCATTTCACTGCTATGAAGCATGAAACATCAATGGCAGCCGCAGAAATCCTCTGACCCACTGTGACCATTAGCTTTGCTTCTTTTAAACATCAAAATCTTAAAAACAGAAAAGGGAGCTTGGGAGTACTGAAGGAAATTAAAAAATACTACCAGCATTCACACAGCAGCAGCAAAGCACGTTACAGGGCAGCCCTGTGAGTCCTTATGCCCAGAGATTACCAGATGTCCTGGGCTAGTATTACAGGAACATTTAGAAAACACATGAAGTGCAGGAATCCAGTGTTCAGAATGCTGTGGTAACATGGATTTTCTATAGGAGGAAATTCCACAGTTCAGTTCTCATATATGAGTCACTCAGTTCATGCTTCTGACTAAATCACCTCTGCTAGCCAAGGAGGAACGAGAAGGACTTTGTATGACACCAGATCGCACAAAATATACACTCCCCTTCCTTCTGCTGTCTGCCCCATGTACTGCCCAGCAAACAGCCCAACCCAAGAGAGGGTCACAGAGCACTCGCAAGAAATTTACAGTAGAGAAAGAAATTCAATGTACTAGGAGAAACTTAAGGCTTCTCCGTGGCCCAGGGTTTACTGTTCTAAGTAACATCTGTTGCTCTGTGTCAGCAACTCCTGTCACTCCAGACAAAAACGGCTGCTCCTCCCTCGTCAGCTCACTAAGAAGCCATTCTACAGAAGGAAGATTTCAAGAAGTTTGCCCATAAGTGATTCTTGGCACTGGCAAGCAGGGCCCAGGGAATGCCCTGGCTTCTTTACAAATGCATTTTTGCTCATGAGACCACAAGCCCTGGCAGGACTACGCTGTTCCATGTCTGGCAGATACCACTGTAAGTACCTTGACAAAGTCACAGTTCTAGTAACTAAAATATAATAGTATTAACACCACCACCACCAAAATGACAGAACATAAAAGTAAAGCAGAAGAAACCCTCTGATCCATTAGAGAAGTCAAGTCTGCCAGTGAGTTCATGCCAAAATAAACACACCTCACCTTTTCGAGGAGAAGACCAGTATAAACGAAGTCTTCTGTAAAGCCTCACATACAAAGGAGGTCGGGATGGCTTCTCCTCTGGCTCTTCTGGAGGTCTCTCCGTTGGACCCAGATACATGAGAGCAGCTTGATGTTTCTGAGGCCACTCCTTGGAAGTACATGGAAAGGAAAGACCGAAGACAAAGCGCCTTTTGTTTCGCACCTACCTGTTTATTCCCTTTAGCCCTTCGGCCTATTTATTCTGTGCTCTCAAGCACTCCTGCAGAGCTACCCAGACCCCACCACTGCCTCAGCCACCTTTATGGCTTTCCAGACTCCAGATTCATACGCGAGATGACATTTTTGCAGCTTGGAAAAGATTACCCATGGTTCCCAAGTCCCAGTTTACTTCTTCCCCACACAGAAGTGAGGTATTCTCCCCTCCATAAGCTGAGAGTAAAGGGATGTCTTCTTTGCTGGTGATGTGTGGCATGGTGACACAACTGCTTCTGGCTGGAGGGAACAACTAAAACTGGCAAAGTCAACGTTAATGTCTGAAAGCACAACTGGTTTCTTCGTGGCACAAAAGCAACTTCAAAGAATAACCGCACAGCAGGGTCTAGTGCAAACACAGGAAGAACGCAGTGCTCTCTGGAGCCAAGGGGCACTAAAACCTGGCAGGTCTTTGTTCTCCAACAACTCAAACAATCAAGATCTGACCTGATAGTCAGGTGCTTATAGGCAGTAATGCAACAGGTATTGAGGCAAGTCAGGTGAGCTTTATAATGCATTGTGCGTGGGGGAAAAAGTAACACATTATTCTTGGTGATATTTCAGACTCCAGTGTCAGAAACTGATGAACCATAGCTCCTGAAATACTTCCAGCTTCCTCTCATTTTGTTTTAAATATAATTTCTGAAATGCTCAAAAGACAGGACTTACGGAGGAAATAACATGATTTTTTTTTTAATGTATAAACTAAAACAACCCAGCCAAGAGCCCATATGTACTCAATACAGTATTTTTCCACGCACAAAACTTTAAAAGTAGTTTTGGATCATATAACACAGGTTGTTAAGCTAATTCACCTCACACCTCTGAGAGCAAGGGAAGACTCCACTATGATAATCAGATAATAGACAGGACGAACAGAGGTTGTATCAGCAGGGCAATGCACGAACGGTACGTATTAATGATTAAAGGGGAAAACAGCAATGCTGCCATAATTCAAGCCTGCATGTTTTAGAAGAGATGATAACACTCATAACAATGACCCTACCGATATCAAAAGTGAGCTCTTTCTCCTTACACTGTTTTCAGCTACAGGTCATCCTGTTTCAAAGGACAGCTACAGCAAAACCAGAAAAGATGAAGTAATGTAAGAGGTACGCAGAGCAACAAACACCACAATTAGGGGAGACTGGGCAGACACTTTTCTGTCTTAATAGCAGAAAAAGTGAGCACTTCTCTTAAACCTTTAGCAACTTAATATATCTTTTTAATGTACGATGAACAGCTCATCAGTGAAATCCACTACCATTGCCACTAACTGAGGCTAAGGACTCTACAGAGCTGAGAAAGGGGCTGGAGAGAAGTGAAGAACGGATTTCTACTTAGAATGCTGGCACACAGAATCATCATCTCAAATTTCCTGGAGATGGGGCAAAAAAAAAAAAATTATTTCATGCATGCACTACAATTTAACTCCCCTTTACTGAAGGTTCGTACAGAGGAAGCACTGACACTCTCACAGCCAGCACGGCTGGACTGCACAATCTGATCTACTATACCTGCTCCAGGGTACTTCCACAGCCTTTCATGAGGCTCCTTATATGTTCAGAGGAGAGGAAAAGCATGTGAATGGAAACACCTCATCTTTCAAGCAGGTCAAGTTTTCATCTTTCCAGGATCAATTTCAAACAACAGAGAAATTTAACATGAGATACAAGCTACTAATCTTCATGTTCGTTTTACTACACCTGGAAGCCTGATTATCAATGTGCGTGAACAGCCTAATCATAGACACTTCTGCCAGATAAATAAATCATAATGGAATGTTATCATAAGAAAGACTGTTGAGAAAAAGTGACAGAGCACTTCAACGGCTACTTCAGCACCCGCTATTGCTCTCCAGTTTCAAAGGTGGTTACTGGCTCCCCCTGGTGATCTTGTAGCAACAGATCCTCAGCAAAGACATTTTTTAAGTATTCCTCCTCCCCTTCATCTCTTCAGAAGTCAAGTCTATCAATTGCTAGGTTTTTTAACAAGTCGAGTCTCACTCCCACTTTATGCTGTCACCAGAATCATTCACAAAAGCTTGCAGATAAATTAGACAAAGTATAGTCAGCCTTTTCATTTCCCAAATACAAAAACACTTCCCTTGCAATTTCTCTTACCTTGAATGTACTGAAAAAGTGAGCTGCTTTGGTTTTTAGAGGCCCAAGGTACCAGTATCTGAAAAAAAGAACACAAATAGAACTTCTAAAATAGCCAGGGGTTCATACTAGGAAAGTGGGAAATTTTGTGTGAAGTCAGAGCACAGACTTGTCACTGAAGTACATGCTCCCCTACAACCTTTAGCTTTGTGATACTCTAACATAGTTTCTACATATCACCAGCAGCTTAGCAGTGACATCCCTTTCCTGAGTTACAGATCACCAACATGCAGTATACAATCTTCCCTACAGGCAGCATGAGCCCGCAGTAGCAGAACTTTACCTGGGAATGATTTAAAGGTCTGTGATCTAACAGCTGGTGGGATGCATCTCCACAATATGCGACAAAGAACAAGGTTGGAGGAAACAAACAATAACCAACAGCCTTGGTGACAAAAGAACAGAGACAGCAAACATCCATTTGCCCCAAAGGACTCTCAGATCAAAATCACTGGTTTATAAAATAGAAGTCCTGCCAGCCATACAGCATTGTACAGAATCTAAAGATGTGACTATATTTAGGCTGGCTTGGCACACGTTTCGATCACTGTCTTCCGCTAAACAAGGTCAACAAAGCACATTAAACACCATCAGCTCAAGAGTACTGCAGATTTAAGTACATCATTAACTACTAAGGCGTACAACTGTCACACCCCTCCCATCAAGCCATGAAATTGTCTGTAAAACAGTAAAACCTCAAGAGCATAAAACAGTACTGTGTCTCCAGCAGGACACTGCTTAGCAGAAGGATAGTCAGACAAATTTCTGGAGCTGTGGCTTATGGCTTAGCTCCTTTTGTAGCAGACACTTTCTTTTCAAGTATGAGACTAGTTGTACTGGAATACACCAAAAGTTTATGAAGCCAAACAACCCATCTCTCATGAGGACCAAAAGCAGATAAAGTGGAGAAATATGGTTCTTGTCCCAGGCACACTCTTGAGCATCCACGCATTTGGGGCTGAAGTGCTTTCCAAGTTGGGCACGTTCTCTGCGCGTTCAAAAACATTCATGGAAGAGAACAAGAACTGAGGATGTTCATATTGCCCCACACAGAAAAGGTGCTGGGAGTGCAGAGGGAAAAGAAGCGCACTCCTTTAATCATGGTGCTGCCATTAGCAGGACAGCCCGCAGTATAGTCAAGTCAGCACCTACACAAGCTACCAAGAATGTCCCCTGCTTTCCAGGGACATGCACCCTTTTTACTGCATATTGTACTGGGGTACTGTACATGCCATTTACTGCATCTCCCCCATTACCTCTCAAACCTATGCAAATATTTGCCAGACAGACTCTAGAGGTCTTTTTCTTCTTGCTTTCTGACAAAGACAGCTTGCTCACAAAACACCCCGTACTTCCCTACGGCGGCACAGCAGAGGCACGTGCTGCAATTCCTCCGTAACAGTTTGACAAGGGAGCTGCTTCAGCCCTCCTGCTTCCTTCACCAGAAAATGCCAGTCATCGGATACGCAGGCAGCGGCATATTAAATGTCCATTTGGAGAAAGCCCAACAATTATTAGTTTAGCATTCAGAGAACAGTCATCAGCCAGAACAGTCCATGCCACTCCTGGCAGGAACTGAAGGGCATTTCTACTGCATCTGATGTCCCTTGTTGGAATTGAGTTACAGAGTCTGCGAGCGCCTTTTCATTGGCAGCTGATGAAAAACAATAGCCAATTACTTTCCTTAGACTTTACTCAAGGGAGAGCTTTTCCCACTGATACAATTTGAACAAAGTTCCAGAAGCGGGCACCGTGGGGCAAGCAGAAAGTAAATACTTAGAAGTACAGGTCAGCACTAAATAAGTGTTTATTTCAAATAATAAAAATGCTGAAATGTTTTACGCTCCCACGTGCGTAATGCAAGACCTAAGAAGAGTGGGTGCCTCTGCCTGTCAAATGCCTAAACTCAAAAAAGACTTCTTTGCAAGGGGAGGGCGGCTACGTCCTTTTAGGCAACAGACACTAAAAAAGGAATGAATTTCACAAATCAGTATTTTCTTACTTGCTAACTTTAACTCCCGCATCTCTGTAAGATCCCCATCTTAAACCAGTCACTGCAAACACAGGCTGTTCCTTTTCTCCCTGCAAAGAAAAATAAACATTGCAAAATTGCTTTCTCTTATCTTGCTCCCAACTTGATTTTTTTTCAGTGAGAAAAATATCATTTCTGTTTAAAAACTGATTTCTGATTAATGCCAAAAGTGAAATTTCACAGAAAAGGTACGATAAGTAGCTAACAGAAATAAAGCTAAGCAGAATTTAAGTGTTACACATTCTATCTGCTTCCAGAGAGGACTACAAGAGGTGAGATTTTGAAGAGGTTGACTGAGTTTCACTGCACACCCAGCAATAGCCATTTCATTTTGTGGATATCACCAGCCAAAAGCAAGGAGCTCTGCACAGTGACACCAAGATCTGGCTGCATAAATGCCCGTTCCACGACCGAACAGAAACATAATAGTCAAAAAACATACTGGGCATAGTCAAAGGTTTTCCCATTTCACATTTTTCACTTTGTAAAAGAAAGCCATTAACTCCACAATAGATATGAACGCACTAAATCAGCTCAGACAACTATTGTTATCTCTCACCATTTCTACAAAAGTATCAGTGTTAGCAAGTTTTGTATTCATCAATTCTCTCTGAGCCTCAAAAAAAGACGTTCAGGCATTCTAGTATTTTCTCCACTTTAGACTATCCGATGCCATAGCACAGTGGAGAAACGACTGTCATCAGAACTACTGATGCCATAAACCAAGATTCCTAACAGCATCGCACGGAGGAAAAGCAGTCCATGTAAACAGAACAACATCGGGACAGGGAAGTTTTAGGGACTTTGGATGCCAAACAAACAGATGATTTTACCTTGATCTGCAAGACATCAAGTGGAACTGTCTCTCCTTTCAAAATGGCCAACGTAGCATTAGTAATATGTCTGCAAAACAAACAGGAAAGTAATAAAGGAAAACAAATGAGAAGGAAGAAAAAGAGTAAGCATCCTGGTTTGAGAGCACCAGGGTAAAAGCTTTAAAATTATCCTTTTTTTCAGCAAACACAACTAGGAGTCCAGGTGAGGCTTTTTTTTTTTTTTTTCAAGAAGAAACAACAATCTCAGGCAAAGAATAAAAGTGCTGCACTTCCTTGAAATCAGAAAGCAAACTGGGTGTCTGCAACATATGACAAAGCCTGGGTTCTAACAAACAACAAAAGACTTGAAAAGCAAAAGTTCTCAGCCTAAGCTTTCTGGAGATTCCTCCTGCTTCAGCAAACCTGGCAGATCACATACCAACTCTTAGTTGCTGGTTCAGATACTTGACATACTACAGACCCAAATCATGGTTTTATCTTATTGGTGGCAAGTGTAACAACCTTGCAGAGAAGGGGATGGGCATCAGACTGGTCTCAAATCACATGTCTGGGACTCAATTGCCTTAGTATGTCAATTTGAAGTTTTTAATCAACATAAATCTACCTATCAGCAGTGCTCATGTGGTCTTGGTCTCCATTAAGTTGAAAAGCGTGGCACTAAAGACTTTGTAACCAAAGTGTTTAACTTCATAAAGGAATCTCTGTGTTCAGACTTTGAAGTGTATGTTTTATTAAAATCCATTCCTTGTTTTCAAAGTTGGGTAAAATTTAAATTCCACGTTATGCACTTTTCCAGTGCCTCAGCTGGACAGGGAAAAAAACAATCCAAACCAAAACCAAATGCACTTTTCAGATTCAGCCCAATATTCACATGAATCAGCAAGAGAAATTGCCCTTGGCTTCATCCACGTTAGAATATTGAGAGAGAGAAGGAAGCTGTTCTTCTCTCAGCCCTTCATTTCTCCTAACTGGGATCTTTTTGTAAGACCTCTACAGTTCCTACACTCCAAAGTTAAGCTCTAGTAGTGCTGAAAGAACCACAGCCCAGATATTTCTTTTAAAAATATCACTTCTGCACTTCTCGAGGCAGGTTCTGTTACTGGTGTGGGTTGTTAAGCAGCCCATTGACCAAATTCCTTTCAAGTTCACCAATACACTGCAGCCTCACCTGCATAGCTCATTACCTTGGGACAAGAAGATCATTCATTTCAAACAGCTTCTTTAGAACCCAAACATAAATGATTATTTTAATCTTAGCTGCTGATTACAGTCTTGTCCATCTTGCTGAGCTTCAAAGCACTCTGGTAGTTTTAATGAAGGATGTCATGCCAGTTGGCTCACGGGTTTTATGTATGATGGATACCCGGGCAAGGGTTCCGCAAAGAAGAATCTTAATGAGTTACTGGGAGAACCAGAGTGAAGAGCTTTCAGGAGCTGGGAGAAATATATCCATTAATATGGGAGAAAAGAAAAAATAGAAAAGAAATTGTGAGGAAAAGAAAGATGAATTGACTAGACTTTTTAGTTTAGAAGTGGACAAAAATTCAAAAAGAACTCAAATGGAGGCAACAGATACTGCCAGACTGGATCATATCCAGGACGCTGACAGGTAACATTCGAGTTCTTGGAGAGTTGCCAGCACTAGTCCCATCATGAGGATGGGTGAGAAACCCTGCACAAGTCAGTAACGGGATCCAACCTTTCCCAGAAAGATATTCTTGTATGCCTTACTTTGCAGGTGCTAACAATGCTATATGCCAACTGGTTTCTAAACTTCTTAAACTAGAGTAGAGATGGAAAGAGGACCTGTTTTTTTTGTCATATCTCTGCTATTATATTTCTGATGACTCCTGAGAGTTCTGATCCTTTCTTTTTACTTAAACGTGCCAAGCCCAAAGCATCACATGATCACAGAGAAATTGGCCACAGCAAATGATTTCATGTTCTAATAATATATACATTTCCTTCTTTTAATTTTTAGGCAGTTTTTGGAAGTCAATAACTCAGGCAAGTCCAGAGAATCACCAGGCTCTGCCCAGAGACTGCCAATTTAGATGCAACATAGAAGAGAAAGAGAAGCGTCAAGCTACCAAGAAGCGCTGCTCCTTGAAAGCAAACCCAAAAAACCCTTTTCGGAAACACATAATACTTACTGGACCCGGTTCATGCTCTCAGGGTAGAGTGTGTGGCTCAGAGTGCAGGTCTTCCCGAGAGGTATGAATCCTATAGGAATTTTACTGAAGACGGCCTGGGCACATGAGGAGAGTAAATGAACATTTGCATCAGCTGAACGAAGCTTCCTGTATGAAGCTCACAGCTGTGGCTGATCTCACCCCCTTGGCACCGAGCAGCCAGGCACTTCCTTAATTGAGGCAGTAATACATAATGACTCAGACCATGGCATCCGAATCTGTGAACCCACCAGTGCCAACAGGGTACAAAGGAGCTCTCTGGAATCATTAAGAGCATTGTTACACGCAGGTTGGCAGCCACATCCTAACTAACGCGTGGGTTCTGTCAGCAATCTGCCATCTTTCTTAAGGCTGACTGTAGCATCACAAGCTCGGAATCTCATTTACCGTTGCAGAAATCCCCCTCTGACAGAGTAACCTTGCGTGACAAAGACATTTTCTCAGTTAAGGAAAAGGAAATTAATTGATTCCTCTGGCACCTGAATCGCAGAGCAGCAGAAGGCCTAATTTTTGGAAGTCATTGACCATGTTATTTTTTCTGCACCACAGTTCAGCAAAAGGGCTTGTTGAAGGAGCAGGTTATTATGCTATACTTCATAATAAACTACGCTTCTTGAAGCGTGTCAGCAAATCAATGTAAACTACCATACATTACAATGCACCACCTCCCTTCTCGGGCACTGCTGCCAGCAGCACCATGACACTGCAAATCCGTGCCGACTAAGTCAGGTCCCTCTCGTTTCATGCCCACCTGCTCTCCCTCACTACCTCTGCGTCACCTCCATGTCTTAACACATCTCAAGCACCCATCCCTCATTTTCTTCAGAATTGTTTTACAGTGGGCACACTGACAGGCTGTTCACATGCAGTCGGGCTCTGCTCCCCTGGCTGCCAGAACAGCATTTCCGGAATACCTTGCACAGGCTCTTCTTACCCAGGGAACTGGGTAAAGTAAAAAGTAAAGCAGAGCACAGAGCGAAGGGGCTGAACTGCAGATCTCTACTCCTAGGACAAAGTGATATGAAGGACAAGACGAATTCCCTGGCCAAAGATATAACCTGACACAGTGGCAACACTACAATGCAGTATTCCACCCAAAATAGCGCTGGATGCAGAGTTTTCTATGCTACTGCACATCAACCCAAGATACATCGACATAACAAGTCAAAAAACAGAGAGGAAAAACTAGCCAGTAAAGCTTTTGAAACTTCACTTGCAGTATCTTTAGATTATAGAGGTCCCATGGGCCAATTATAATAATATTAAATTTAAAAAAACAATGTCTCAGAATGGATACAGGCAGCGCCTCTTTAAATATACTGACTTGGTTGCAGTTTCTCTTGTCACATTCAGATAAAGCAACTGCCTAAACAGATAGAATTCTTGCTGCCAAGGATATCATCATAATCTTGTCTGGATCATTTAATTGAGTTTTTGCCAGCTCCTGCCAGAAGGTTTTGGGAACAAAGATTCCCTCAATAACACTGTCCTCCCTCTTTTTAAAAAGAAAAATCTCTCTCATTTGCATTCAGAGCAATCCACCTTGAGAGGTTAAAATGTGCTTTCTGCAGCCATCTGCATAGGTAGATAGTCACTGCTTGAAAAAATGGCAAAGTAATCATAAAGCAACGGGAGCACCGCCATAACCAAACTCGGTTTCGAGCCTTTACAGATACAAGGAAAACATGTACTTTCACCCGATACTTCTGCCAAACAAAGCAGCATACACAGCTGGTCCACGGGTCTTTGGAAGTTGCACGTTTGGCTTCTGTGCAATCCCTGCTCTGATGCTGGAAACTTCCCAAAGCTGTGGCTTGGGAGCCATTGCGCTCCCCAAGAAAGGGAATGAACAACAGGCGAACTGCAGGACACCGGCACGGCAGCAAAGACAGTTGAAGCCAAGAGATCACAGTGGGAGTACAATCAACTTCCTCTTAAGAAATAAAATCACAGTTCCTCACCTCATCTGCTCTGCGGAGAAGTCCAGTTATGACCTGAAAAATACAGTAAACGCTCAGCTCTGAGAATTTTGGTTTTCAGAAACAGGACAAAGCTACGATACTCATACCCACGTTTACTCTTCAGAAAAGATTAAAGGAGCAGCTACTCTTTTGTGGAGGGTGCTACAGTTGCTTACATGAGAAAGGAGGCATGTTCAGTGTGCAAACGTGGTGGAAATAACAGAGTTATAAGCATATGCTGGCACCACAATCAACACCAATGTAAGTGTTTTAACACTGAATAATGCTCAGTATAATGCAAAAATAGCACTTGTAAGCCTGTAATTAACAATAATCAGTTCTAAGGCCAGCAGAAACTTGCAGATGTATTCTGACCACTTTCTCTTAAGGTCATTGCATTTAATTTAGCCATTGCCTTACGAAGCCAGTGGTTAGCATTCCAGGAAATGCTTTAATAAAATACAGTCTTCCTTGAAAAATAGAGTATCCCTCAATTCTGCTGGTACTTGGCTCCTGTCATTAATCATCTTGACAATAGGCATTTATTAAATACATACTGTGCTTTGTTATCACTCCCACGTAATTTTTACATTTTCTGATTCCCACTTAGCAAAACATGCTCCTTCTGGGGAGTACAGATAGGAGTGAGCTTTGAAAATCAAACCACTACAGCAACATTACAGAGAAAGAAAAAGTTAGAATCATGTCTCCCCAAATAATTTTCTCATTCTAGAATAAAATTCTGGAAGACAGTTATGTCACATACTCTTCCTGCCCTCACTCCCATCACTCCTTTTAGACTAATAACAACTAGCAGAGTTCTCCTGTCCCCAGAAGTTTGTAACATTGACTGAAAACACAGATACTAAACCAGACAAATCTCTAGTAATAGTTGTTACAATGCTGCTACATTACACAGGCTCAATTGTCTCACCCTCGGCCTGACTATGATTCTCAACAAACCAGGACAAAGCTCCTGAAGTACCTCTTGTACTGTGCCATCTCCTCCTGCAATAATGATCAGATCTGTGTTTTCCATCAATTCTAGCAGCTTTTTCGCTTGTCCCTCGTAATCGGTCTGAAGAAACAGAAATCCAAAAATGAGAACACAAGTGACTTTTTCTAGGATTTCTCTTCTACGGGTAAAAAAAAAAGAATCATCTATTCACTTGCCTAATAGTTACTCTCATACAGGCACACAGTACTGTATATAAGTTACATCCACCGAAACTGGTAACAGGTTTAGCAGTAAAGAGTATTTCTAAACCACCAAAACCGTTTTCTGCAAAATGCATGTCTCTTACAGGGACATCTCAGCTGCAGTTACTGGCCCAGCCCTGTGTCGCTAACTTGTCAGGCCTGAAGCTACAAAGCACCTGAAGTCTTGTCAAATACTTTTTCTCTTAGGGTGGGACTAGGTATTTTCAATGATCAGACTAAAGCATTAATAAAAACCAGCATTTTAACATTAACTCATACAAAAAAAAGATCGCAAGACGGGAAGATACATATTAGAGTACTTCACTGCTGGGACACAGTGGCTATTAATCCACATACCACAGCCTCAAAAACCTGCAAGATTAGAAACCCTACGCATTTATTTGTCCTTCTCTTTCCAAAGAAAACCTCTCTGCCAATTCACGCCGTTTAGAACTTGGTGTTCGGTTTTCGTGATGGGAATGTTGAGTTATTTGGGGATAAGCTGAGATATTTTCAGTGCAAAAACAAAAGGTGATTTTTAATTAATTTGAGCAGCTCCACTGCACATCAAAGTTCCTCATTTCTGAATTCTGCAAGTTCAGGCAGAATTGACAATTTCAACAGCAATGGGCATGCATCACTAGCCAGCACTCAAATATTGAGAGTTTTCTCTCAAATATGAATTATGGAAGGGCTGCTTCAGACAGACAGACAAGCATATACACTGCTTTAGCCGAAAATCAAAACCTCAGTACAGTTTGTAAATCAACTGTGAGTTGAAAACACTAAGTACCAGCTTACTATCACAGTACTTATTTCTTCTCACGAGATGTCTACAGGAAAAGTGAGAATTTCAAATGCACTGAGAATTTAACTTCAGTTCTTCAAGAGGAGGAAGCAGAGCAGGCAATACATCTATATTACCAGAACCTATCAGTTCTTACCTGAACCACAGTTACATCCAAGCCAGATAAGTGCAAAATTGGAGCAGCATTCTTTTCAAAAAGGTTCCTGGCTTTGCTGGAAATAACAGAGCAAAAACAATTTGATTAGTCTGGTGGCTAAAAAAAAAAATAAAGAAACAAATGAATAACAACAAGAAATCTACTTAAAAACAGGCATGCAATCTACACAGTCAGTCACTCAACCTGTCAGTCACAAAAGATGATATTTCATTTGGTTCTAATGTATTTCATTCCTAGACTCATATCTCAAACATCAGTTTTTTGTTGCAGTTTTAATAAATGCAGAAGAGGCTATCTAGCTTTCTCCAAAAATAATTTAAAAAACCAACAAAACAAGGTCTTCAGAAAGAAATTTATTAGAAAATTAATGACTTACAGAGCAGTAGGCTTTAAGATCACAAAGAAGGCCCATTTAGGTTTTCAGAAACATTTTTATTAAAAAAATGTTTACTGTTACACAGTACTAAATAAGTTCAGAAGCAAAATTTTATCTGATCTTCTTTTGTTTAACGACTGTTGCATTTTCTGCTCGTAATTGCATAATAAAATAATTATGCCACTAACTATAAATTGCTTAGAACAAGTAGAAACATGAGACTGGAAGTCAGAGGCTTAATTTATTATCACTTTGCATTTTCCAGCCACGGGTGTTTTGAATCCCCTGACCCTCCCCAAGATGCAACTGATACGAAGCTTATCTGATCAGCAGAAACAGACGCACAGATCATATCCAAGATTAGTGTTTTTCTGCTAATGAGCACGCAAAAATAGCAGCCGACCTCTTCCAGGAGTCCTGCTCTGAGCCCATATTTAGCCTCTCAGTTTGTGGGCACATCCCTTTCAAGGACAGGTTCCCACAGAAGTAAGATCACTGCTGGTTAACTTCAAGTCTTGAAGCAATCACGGTCATCTCTTATTTCTACAGATTTTGAGGACGGGAACGCATCACATGTTTGGAAGGAATACAAAGGAAGGAATACAAATACAAAGGAATGACAGAGGCCAAAAGACAGGATAAGAGAAGAATTAAAAATATACCTATGTTTAGAAATCATTCTTTCAATTCAAGCATCTAGCTCTATTTCTCATCCCAATATTTTTGGTGAAATACAGTTTGGCACAGATATATAGCACCAGCTTGGCATCAGAGGGAGGCAAAAATGAGCTCAAAAATCTGGCTGGCTTTTATAGTGGATGGCAGAGCAAAAATACAGAAAGAGTGCCTCAAATACGAGTGTAGGGAAGGGGGAATTTTACCCTTTGCAAGCTGCTGGGTTGAGGAACACTGTTGCTTTCTTCAGTGGCATACTGGAAGGGATCAGCTGGTTGCCAAAAGCCTACATAAGAGAAAAAGAGCAGAGTTTGGTTTATCTTTTCAGCACGTTGGTAAAAATGGCTCAAAACATCGCGCCTCTACAAAAGGTCAATGGGTTTCCAAGCCTCGTAACATTCAAATGACTTCCCTCTTCAGCCACTGTACAGGTCTTCTACCCAAAGACATACCCTTCTACCAACAGCTCACACCACTGTTACAAGGACTCTTCAGATCCTTTTTACAATTCCACCACCATTTCGTTTTTGTCAACCTCAGGCTTTCTGGAATGGGCAGAGATCCAGGGAGTTATCCTTCACGTCAAGGTTACTTCATTTTCCTTCCTTAAGTAATTCTCATGCACCTGCCCAACACCTTCTTTCTGCATCTTTTTTCCACTTCCATACTTAATTTCTTCTCTCTCTTCTGGTCATTCTTGTATTTTCTATGGTTAAGTTTTTGAAAATACAAAAGAATCACCAGAGAATCTGTCCTGACCTCTATCCAAGCTCGCAATTTCTCAGATATTTTCAATTCCTAAGGTCTCCATATAAAAAAAAACATTGAATTCCTCTTCAATTTTGAATCCAACTCTGAATAGACGCGTTGATTTAAAATTCTTTGAGATTTACTCTGTACAGCCTCTTGTACCTTTTAGCCACTTGTACAGTTTCCATAGCTTTTCCGCAGAGGACTGAGTACAAGGATATACATACACAATAACATATGCAGCAGCACCATCCAGAAGCCCCAGAAATAAAGTAGGACCAAAGGATGACTGTGCTGAATACAAGACGCAGTTGACTGTCCCTGGTTGGGTTTTTTTTTTCACTCTTTATCTTGAAAGTTAATCCTCCTTAGCAGGAATTTTTGTATTGAAGAAAGTGGACACTCTATACCAAGCACAGCAGATTTTAGTGGTCATTAGCAGTTTAAATTTGTAATTAATTCCACTCGTCAACCTTTCCCAGGAAACCTCAATTAAAAGATGTGTGCAGCTGGCTACATTGCTCAAAACATTCAAATTTCTTCTTCAAGAAAGTAAAAGGATATGAGAAAAGTCGCTGAGGTTAAAGGCCCCTCCAAAGATAGACAAACAAATCAGTAGCTCTTAAGATTTACTTGAAAATCAGCTGGAAAGCATGCCAACATATTTTATTGCAAATGTTGGGCAGGAATTGGGAAACATAGGGGACCTCTAGCATGCTACAGCTGTTTGAAACAATTAATTATTTGCTTGGGGGGCACAATGTGATATATTTGCTTGCTTTAAACAACCTAACTAGGCTCATAAAGAATTTATGAGTAATGACATAATCACTTCTTCATGTAATATATTTAGACATTTATGTTACATACAGGAGCATTTCTAAAGCAAATGCTGATTTTTAAGACAGGAAATAAAAAAAATAATAATTTAACATTCTAGATGTCTTTTTTGGGGGGGTTGTGGGGTTTTTTTCAGATCACAATGTAAGGAAAGACAGCATGAAGCCAGACATTAAAAAGGGTTAATAAATACATATATATGAAGATATAATTTAGGGAAGTCAACTTTCTTGTCAAACACATGCTTCCAGGCACTGCATTTCTGGACTTCTAAGATGACATTCACTATTTTGCAACTACAAGAAGCCCTTTACACAAAGGCTGTGTATTGCTCTACAAACAGTAACGGAAAAACTACATTCCTTCACAGAAAACAATCCCTGCCCCACAGAGCGAACTATTTGCCAGCTAAATGGGACCTCTTTAACACATCAAATCAGAGAATCACAGAATGGCCCAGGCTGGAAAGGACCTTAGAGATCATTTAATCCAACCTCCCTGTCATGGGCAGGGATGCCTCTCAACTAGATCAGGCAACACATGGGGACTGAACGGGGATCGATGCCCAGAGTTCAGAAACAAGAAGGTCAATCAGCGAGATCACGTTTGCAAAGGAAGTCCAGAGTCAGCCGACACTGGCTTAATCCAAGAAGGAGGTGTAAAAGGTTTAAAATACGATAAATGAGTTCTTGATTACAGAATCTTTCTATTATCATTTGCCAACTCGAGGCTGTCATCATAGAATGGCCTAAGCTGGAAAGGACCTTAGAGATAATTTTAATCCAGCCTCCCTGCCGCCAGGGACACCACCTCTTAACTAGATCAGGCAACACATGGGGACCAAACGGGAATCGAACCCGCGACCTTAGCGTTGTTAGCACTATGCTCAACTGACTGAGCTAACCAGCATCATAAACTAGTATTTAAATTCAGACATGCAGGGCAGAGTCTTTGCATGAAGCACTGCTGTAGTGGCTACTCTGGCAGGAAGGTGGGCACCTCATCGATTTGGTACTGGAGCAGGCTTAGAAGCTTAAAAATCTGATGCAAAAATAGTAGGGGAATCCTCCATTTGACTCAGACTGAACTCTGTCTTGGGTGAGTCTCCCTCTGTTTTTCCCCCGATATTTACGCAGCACTAAAAATGCAAGTAGCATTTTTCAAACAATTACAGATTGTTGTCATTCTGAAGAACGTATCAGACGTTTAATGCCTTACTGCCGTACTGCTGTGCTTTCAAGCAGCGTTTGGCACCAGCACATCAGTGAGAATGGAAATTGCAGCAAGAATTGATTACGAGACTATCTGGTTCAATCCCTTTTAATGCAGGAGTCTTCTGCAGGATGTTTTTCCAGGCTTTAACCATCAAAATTGTAGGAAGTTCTATCAACAGTGCTTTTGCACTTTCATTTATAAGAATAAGCCATAATGGAATAGATCCCATCACTTAATGGCTAGAATTAAGAAACAGGAAAGTCAGAATTTCCACAACAGAACTATCTTCTTGGACCTGACTTTCCTTAGCAGTTACACCTCTTTGACAGCATACACAGGCCTTTTAAGTTCTCCTTACATACCACTTAATCAGTGACTTAAAAAAACAAAACAAAATTTCATCAGCATGCTTCAAATACTGAGGTAGTAATTGCTATTTTTGGTGGTACAAAAAACTTTTATCACTTTGATATTATGCAGTAAAAATTAATATCGACAACAAAAATCAAGAACAACTGACTCTATGACTTGGAAATGCATTTGACTCTGAAGCTACAAGTATTATTTACAAAAGGCGTATTTTCACGGAAAGATTTTTCTTATTCTTTGAGGAGACTTGAGCTCCCTTACATCTATTCTGGCATGAAGTTCCATTGCTCAAATCAAGTAGCTGTGAATATCTTTCCCTCAACAGCAGGCAGGCTAAAATTGAGATTATTCAGGTGCACCACAGAAGTAGGGTAATATCAAAGAAAGTTCTTTAATGAGAAAACTAATTTTCACCATTCTTCACAGCCTCCAGTATACAGCAATGATGGGAGGAGTGTTACACCCTGCAAAACCCGTAAGACCTGGCATGGAGAAGCAGGTTTTGTGGGAGTAAGAAAGGCTCTTAAAATTCTATAACATGCCACCAAGGGAATCAGAGCCGGTAAGCAGTATCTGTGCCACCCATGGGCAGCAGCACGTGTGCCCACAGCTTTTTAAGGACGAGATATCTTGATGGGAATATTGCAGTAAGGGAATTTGGTCTTTGCCAGCAGGCCACAAACTAGAAAACACAGTAATACCTCTCTCTGAATACCAGCTTTCTTATCAGTGACCAGCAAACAGGCTGTCACCATTAAGTTCCCAGTGCATGAGTCTCATCATGCTCAGTGTCCTCGATAAAGTCACTCAGGATCGAGTAGGCAAGGGCAAGGTCTGTCCAGCTGAGCACCAACACGCAGCGGTTTGCGCCACTTCTGCCGAGACCGCACCCATCACGGGGTACCAGAGATTTCAGTCTCCTGCCTTATCAACAAATCACTTTCCCTAAAAGAACTTTGCAGGCACAGAGCAATCACACCTGCAGGAGCAGAGGTCTGCATAGGACAGCAGCGACTAAGGTTACCCCAGCGATAACACTGCACCGTGTGTCGCGACAGCAGTTGGGACATGAAAGGCCCGGTGCCCCGGCTGCAGGCTGGAGGCCTCATCCACCCTCTGGCACTTCAGCAAAAGAACACAGATGGCATCATTATAAGGCTCGTCACGTAGCAAGGGCCCGCTGGGAAAATCTGCACAACTAAGATAAGAGGGAGATTTTAATCTAATTTTATCACTTTAAACGGTATTACCTGGGCTTCTTGGCATGCAGCTCTTCGTAGCAGGTTATCGCTATTAGGGAAGGCAGAAAAGAGAGCGGACATTAGCTTGTGTAAGTTTAAAACAATTTGCTGATTTTTAAAATGTAGGTACATACCCTTTGTACACGCACTTTGACAACACCAATACAAAAAAATACAGGTTCTTTAAGATCTATTTAACACATTTTAAGGATGAAATACACCCATTTAAGCACACATGCATATTTTTTTTCTGCACGTGCACACAAAGACCCTTTCTATAGTAAAAACAGAGCAGAAAACAAAGACTGGGGTGCCAAATGTGCTGACATTACATAAGCTATGAGACACTGTATAATAGATTTATTTCTAAATTGCTACATAACAGTACTCCAGATCTAAAGTATGGTGTTTTTTTCAGTGTTAACATGGCCTGTTATTTAGCAAACTGGAAACAGAGCTATTAAATAAGGAATAAAATTCTGTTCTCCTCCAGACCAAAAAGTGCTCTACTGGCCCTTGAAGACAAAACAGGGAGTTTTGTTCTGCAATGCCCAAAGTCTCACCTGTCCTCTAGATACTAGACCTCCTCCCTCCTTGTTAAAACCAAAAAACTCCTTCATCTTCCCCTTGCAAATACCTGGTAAGACAATAAATTATGGTCGAAAAAACATCATCCCTCAGCTACAGTCAGCGTACCAAAATGAATACATGACAGCAATTAAAAAGACTCAAGGCCAAACAAGAAAAACAAGTGATGCAGAAAGCAGCGCACTCCTGCCCCAACGTGTGGCTCACTGGGCCAAATCCTGCAACGACAGCGGCAGAAGAGAAGGCAAAACCTTGGCCTCTGTGTCTGGAAACAAACACAATCAAGATCAATTCTATTCCATGAGTTTATGGTATCTGTCTGTCACTGCAGATATAGAAGCTTCCCTGTTGGCATCACCAAAAGATGCAGCAATGCCATAAAAGGAGAAGTAGGGAGACTTCAGGTGAGACGTAAAGTTGAGTTCTGAGAAAATAACTCCACAGCAAAAAAAGCTACAGATTTATTCCTGGTGGTAATAAAAAGACAAAGGAAGAATTCAAGCACAGAAAAAGAAAATGTGAATAATCTCTCACCAGGACAACAAGTAACTTGAATGTCTAAAAAAAATTTCCTCAGAGACATGCTTTTAACTATGGTGTGTGCTCCTTAAAAACAAAGCAGTAAGTCATTTGTATTATGCACCTGAAATATTACTTAGAGGAGCAACAGACTTGTTTCTGATTGCAGGAATATAATGAAAGAGCACTAGCTAACAATCAGTGAAAAGGTTTGTGTTCCAAGCTAAATGACATTGTTGCAGCTAATTTCAGTTCAGCCAAGACAGCAGGACCGGGTAAATCCACACGACACGGCTGAGGGCACGAGCCACCACGCAGGGACGTTTCTCCCACTGCGGCCAGAGGAGAAAGAAAACAATTGCAAATTCAATGTGTAAAGCTGAAATATTAGGGATATCAAGAAAAGCCCACTATCAAATGATGGCTTGCATAGTTAATGTATTTGAGAATTGCCATCCTAGTCGCATTAGCAAATTCTAGTCAAATCCAGGTTATCGGTTTACTTCACATTGATACTGTTTTGTTCAGAAGTCAAGCTATGTCACGTCGTCAGCCGGTACATTTTCCTGGTACCCGCAACCTCATGCTGCAGTGTTAATTGCCTTTAAAATGGAGTTCAGCACAGCTATTCAAATGCAAGCAGAAAATACCATGCTTTCTGTCCGAACCAGCAAAGACCCTCAAAACAACCATCAAGGAGGCAAGCTAGATTCAGCTCAACCGATTCTTAACCATAAAAATTAGGCTTGACAGTTTAGACGTCAACATTTAAGCTTATTTTCTCCTACACCGAAGCACTTGCAGAAACAGAAAAAGTCTACTCTGACACATATAATTTTCATTATAAAGGAAAGGTTTAGGTTCTGAGACCAGAAGAATCATTTACTGTCCAGTAATTCACAGGTGATTTGTCTGACCTGTCGAGTAGCACAGCACCCAGAATCCCATGCTGTGCCTGCCAGACTCATAGGATTCCCACTGATTCAACCAGGACATACATTTCAGTCATCTGAGTTTGGCTTAACGATGCTAGGTATCAGGAAAATTTTAATTTCTTTAAAATGTTACCTCAACACTAAACTGTCTTCATACCTAAGGAAAAAAAAAAGAACACACAAGAGCCTCAGAGAGATGTCGCTGTGAGAACAGCATTCCTCATCCTGTATCACTGCTTTTGCCTTTACTCACCTCATATGGCTCACCTGAAGTACTACAAGAGGGTCTAGAAGACCTCTGCTGATCATACCAATTAAAAAACATAGCCAGAAAAATGTTAAAATAGCAAAAAAGGTAACTTCTTAGTCTTCTGTCTCTGTACGCATTAGATTATCAAAATACAGGTGTGGACCAGCTTCCAAAGAAGAGACTTTAACAATAAACAAAGTTTTGTTGATTTTTTTTTACTTCATTGACTAATACTACACAGTAACAAAACCTTTTCAACAACACTCCAACACATGCAGGTGGAGGTTGAGGGAAACCACTGCTCTGCCTTAAAGAACATACAGAGATTTCTTCTGACTTGCGCCATATCCACAGCAAATTAAAAATCAATTTTTATTTTACGTTTCCCCAAGGCTTATAGACACAATTCCAGCCTTAAAGCAAAACAGACACACAGTACTTCAGCTGCTGGCCAAGCCAGGGCTGCCTTCTCACCGTGAGAACTAAGCATCACACAGCTTACAAGCATCACACAGCTTACAACTGGGCCATCTTGCTTAAGCAGCAAAAAATTGGGAGCCAGAGAGGAACAAGGAGTGTCAGTGGGGTACAGAAGAAAGAGAATGTCCTATGCTGAACCCACAGACTGAATTTTGACTGGTTCGACAAAGCTATCGGTCCATCCTGCAAGGCTAGCAGCTGCAGCAGCGCAGACTTTTTAGAGAACAGAGCAGGCTTACACCAAAGCAAGGAACCAACTCAGAAAGAAATGAAGAGCACCCACGCAGAGCTCACCACACGCCAGCCAGAACACGCTGGGCTGTGAGAGCACCACATCCGTACGACCCACTGGAACCAGGGCTGTGCTGATCCATTTGCAACACCTCCCACCCCCAGCACAGGACCGGTGGTCACTGCTCCTTGTCCTAAGTTTTTTTAGCTAGAATAGGGAATTAACACTCTTGCATACAAGCACACAGATCCACAGTGCATTTGCTCTTCCAGCTGAGGCTGCATCCTCCGCCCAAGTGACGGCAGAGGCCAGGGCCGAAAAAAAAGGGTGGTTCCCACGATGAACGGTCAGCCAGGGCAGCAACCAACTCAACAAGGAGAAGACAGCAAACTTGAATTGAAGAAGCAGCTGTTGGAGGCCCACAGCCTCTCTAAGGGTAAGCCTTCGTCTTAGAGCCGCCCAAAGCAACTCACTTAAAAGTGACCGTGCCACAAATGCTTAAACTTCAGGTGTGAGATCCCATTACAGAAAGGGTTATCAGCATTACATCTATTAGGTACATTCAAGCAAAAAACAGCTTAAAAACTCTGCAGTTCAGTGTTTGCATTAAAACACAGTTTTGTGAGGAGAAACTTTACTAAAACTGTGCATATAGGATCACTCCTCAAGACCTATAACAGAACTCCTAAAAGAGATTATATCCTAGCAGAGAACTTTTTGGCTGCTTCCAACACAGCAAGAGCACAGCATGCTCTTTGCTGGATATTAGCATTTATTTCCAGCTTGGCTTTGGAAGAGTATGAAAGACAAATCTTAGTTTTCAACAGCTTTATCCAAGACCCAGAACTTAAATTCAGGTTTCTTAGACAAAATTTTGATGAAGTATAGCCAGTCACTCGGGAAGTACATGCAGGAAAGTGACAGAGTTATCAGGTGGCAAACACACAGAGACTAACCTTCAGATTACAGATAACAATAACACTCTGGTGAGCAATCAAAGGCCCAGATGCCATACCAGCACTTTCCACAGAGAAAGTCATATACAGGACAAAACTGAGTGTCTTGTAAGTCCACTGCCTCAATGTAATATTGAGGGTCCCCACCCTGACAAAGCGATGATGACTTATCCAGTGACATCACTGTAATAGCGCGGCCAAATCTGACAATCAGTTAAGCTGACATCCATAACACCAGCGATTAAATTTTTGCTGATTTGACATAGCTGGTGATTCACTGCACCACCCGGACATATAAAGAATAGCAGCAGCTCAATTCAAAAAAGGTGACCCAGGATATCACAATAAGCGGGGCTTCCAAACTCGGCAGAACTTTTAAAACAATCATACAGTGTCTTTATCTGTACTCAATCTCACATACGGCTGTTAGATAGAAGTCTGTTACTGTGTATGAGCACGTTATCTGACAATCCACATACCCTCTAAGCTCTAATCTAGCACATTAAATTCAGTGTCGCTTACACCTGTAGTATGTTGGGCTACAGATAAAAATGATATCGACACATAAATCCATGCAATTCAGAGAAAGGAAAGGGAGACCCATGTCACATGTGACAACCCTGAGTTATTTTCTTCCTTCTCCAGTACTACAATTTGATATTCTAAATGCAAGATAGTGGATTTTTAAAACATTCTTTTGTGGAAAATAAAGGAATTTTAAGATGCACTAAGGTTTTGGAAGAATAGCAAGTGGGCTTTAGTTAACAGCAGTTCAACCAGACATAATGCCTATCATCTTACACATGAAAAACCTTTGCCACCTCTTGATCGATGTCTCTTCTGAAGAAGTACCTTCTGTTATTGTGGGATTAAGGCTCCTTTGCCTTAACTTTAGTTTTATTTGCAAGGTAACCATTTTGGCTAAAACACTTCTAGAGCGCTTACGCCTCAAAATCCAACCATTCTTACAGCATTTGATGTGGGGTAAGTATATAAAATTACTTAATTGCCTACATAGCATTGTTCACCTATCAGAACATCAAGAAAGTTTCCAGGACAACGTGCAGCTGGTGCATATGGAACTCTCCCACAAAGGTTTCCAAAACAAACTTTGGAGTTAGTATCATCAAGGAAGTTTGATTGTTCTGTCCCTAAGGGAATATCATATGGAGCATGGAATGTTGTGGAAACACCATGGTCAAGCGCTGTGAACGCAAAGGAACCTGGAGGCATCAAGGAGCTAGTTCACTGCACATTTACCGTCCTGGGCCAAGAGTCTGTCATCTTCTGACAGATGCTGTCCTTTGGGTGAACTATGTTCATTATAGTCTCATTATAATCCCAAAACCCACCTCTATCCCATGAGAGTCCCAGATACACAGATTCGTAAGATCAAAGATGCATATTGCCACCCTTGTGAAGGCTGGCTGCATAATTCCAGGGACGTTGCCAGATCGAAGGCAGTTGGGTGTGTCGTGTTAGTAATGTGGAACTGGGCATCTCTCAGAATCTAAGCCTAGCCGCCCCCAGCCCCTCTGATATCTGAGGACAAGCTGGAATGCAACGGGGTTTAGCTTCTGCCAAACTGATTTGAACCTTTTTGCAACAGCAATTGTTGCCTCTTTTAACGCGACTGAAATTGGTAATTGGTGTCTCTCCTTTTAACGTAACAGTTATAACACATACTCAGAAGGGCTGAATCATAAACAAGAGAGGGAGAATCAGCACAAGGCTTCCTCTTTACTCTTCCTGTTCATCCACAAACCCCTTATTTTTACATCAGTCACTATTTGAACAAAAGCCTCCAGAGACAAAAGGCTAACAATACACTGATCCAGAAACTAAACGCTGCATGAAGAAAGCATCATACAAGACTAGGCTAAGCAGCTTCTCGACCTTTACAATTATTGTCGTCCAGAATCTTTTGACTTGGCGATGAACTGCTCCTCTCCACTCCTTCTCTTTACAGCCTATGGAGCACAAGGGTGTCCACATCTGACCCCCCAGCACAGTGTGCAGAGTGCAGGGTGCAGGAGAGGGACACCCGGGTCCACTTCCAGGCAGGGAAGAGGTATGGAGAACAAGTCTGGAAAAGACAACATTCTTCTCATCCACACTTGCCCACACAGCATCCTCCAAAGTCTTAAGGAATTACTCCAGAGCTCTTCTGTCCCTATGGGCACATAGAGACTGACTGCTATTTAAATGAAGGACAGATTGTTATTTACAGTAGCTCCACTTAATGCAGGCATCATATCCTCTGCATCCAAAAGAAGAACAAACCTTGAGAAGTCAAAAAAGCAAATGATCTTCTCCTTGCTAGAGAAATATCTTAGAAAATCCACAGGCATGGAAAAGCCAAGAAGAGGGATGGAGGAAGGGAAACATTTTTCTTCAGCTGCAAATAAATGAGCAACATCTCGGACATCTAATTCCAAGAAGTCAGAGGCTAATCTGAACCAATGCTGCACTGAAGCAAGCCCCTTCGTCAGAGATGCCAGTGATGCCAGAAACCGAAGCACAAAACTTCTCTACGCTTTTAATCTGTTCTAAAAGGGCAGATATAAGTCTAGTCAAGTATGTCTCATGCATACTCATTTAGTCTCTGATGTCAGTAACAGCCTCACGGCCAGCATAGCCCAACATGGGTCCGTCATTAACCTCTCGAAGCATCGCCTGTAGCAGCTTGTGCTCGGGCCAGAAGGCACCTTTCATACTCTCCGGCATAACTGGTACAGGGAATGTACAAAAAAACTCCCCAAACCAGCATCAAAAGCCTTTACTACATTTGGAGGCAAGCAAACTGCACAGAGGGATCCTGGCCAGCGGCCACGAAGTAAGGCTTTCACTGGGCACAGAGAATCACGGAAGGGCCACTGAAACCACTTTTGAATTTCTACACTCTCGACATTAGGTTCTGTTCTTCTGTCACTTCTTATTTTTCTAGTCCCTGGCTAAAACAACCCTCCACAGAGAAAATGGCTAAAAGGTTGTCACTTTTTCCAAACTGTATTTAAATCTCTGAAAGCAGTGTTTTACAGCTGGGCTTCAGTCTCCATCAAAGTCAGATGGAGCTGTCTATCATCACAGGATTTCCTACCCTGCATTTCCAACATTGGGTAAGGAAATGTTGCATTTTCCCTTACAGATAAGAGGGGAGATTGAAGAATGGGATGTGTAAACATCTTCCCTCCCCACCTCGCATCATCTGTGTTAAAGTATCATGCCTACATTTGTGCAAATAGCCTCCAAGCACTGAAATTTAGATACCAAAAGTTCCATTTTTGTTTGTTCGGCTTTCACATTTTCCTCCTTATTCACCACCGTATCAGGGTATGCTTCACGTTCTCTGTGATCATAATGTGTTTTCACAGCTACTGGACAAGAAATAAATAAAGCTGAAAGGAACAGTACATTGGCAGATGAATTCCCAGAAACAATGGACGTAAAGGGGAGACGGGTTGTGTTTGACACTGCTCCTAGGCCTCCTCAAAAGCCCCTACTCTCTATAAGCACAAGGAACAGACATAGTGTTTATCTTAATGCTCTATTTCAGTAGCTCTCTGCAGTACTCAGGCCCAACATGCACTCTGTTGTCATTAGTATCTGTGGCAACAGAAGACCAGTAAAGAGGCCACTTATATAAGCAGCTACCTGGGATATGAATGCTACCAAGCGATTTCTTCCTCCGCATTTTGTACATTAAGTTTATTCTTCTGCCTAAGAGATATCTAGAACGGTAGATCTTCAAATAATGACTCATTTACATTTCCTTACTTTAGCCGAATTTGAAGTTCAAATCGTCAGAGGGAAAAGCGGAACCCAAGCTCAAGGATCCGCTCACATTACATGAAGGCCAACCAGTTCAGCACAAATACTTCTGCTTACAACACGGCAGTACGCTATGTACTTCTCTTCTACCTGGTGGGCCACGCAGGCATACGAGGGAGAACATGACCTTGTTACCACGACTTTTGCACAGTTACTTTCCATCTTACAATATCCTTCCCTATAACCAGCAATTAGTAAAAAGGACGGCAGGAGAGTTTTTTCACTGCTTGCCCTGCAGTCAACCAAGCCTCAGTGCTTCAGGTAAGAAGTAAGCAACTAAAACAGATGTACTGTTAAAAACAAAGACTGATTTAATGCAAAAGTCCCTAGGCAAAAGGAAGTAAAGAAGGAAAGTATAACAAACAACATAAACAGATTTATCTTCCTAAGTTTTCCACTGAGGCTTTGGCAGCATTTTAACATAAGCAGAAAAGAACACTGCTAAAAATCACGACTTGACAATTAAAAAGACATTAAGACAGTGACAGAACAAACAGCAGCACCAAGTAATAATTTTAAAAAATAATTTGGCTACACTTGCATCTCAGTCAAATGTATTAACCATGGTCTTAAGGGATGGAGATTTAAAATGTAAGCCTACCTATCTAAAAATTTCGAAGGAGGATTTTGGTTACTATAAAGAACACCTGCCCCACAGACAAACAGTGGAAACAACACCCTGCCAGGTACAACCTATGTGAGCAGTGCTGCTGCTGCAGCAGTTGACGGGTTTCTTCCAGCTTGGTGGGAGACAAGACCAAAGCAGGAGGGACAGTGCCCGCCTGCCGCGGGGCCGTGCCCCAAGAACTGCACAAGCGCCCGCGCAGCAGACAGCTGGCATCTTTCACGAGGTGCACGGTACCATTAAAAGAAAATATGGAGGTGGGAAAACCCACAGGCACACCACCACAACGCTGCAATGTCTGCCCTGTGCACAGGATGGGAAGGCAGCTTCCTATCAACACCGGCACCGTTTGCAGATGCAAGGCCTCTAGTTTCATCCATCCCTACAACACTGGTCAAAAGCAACCAAGCTGCTGACACACATGTGGCGTTTTAGAAGAGAAACATCTCCCTCCTCTCCAACTGGCCCAAAACGATCCGA